GAGGAGACAAGCATGTTCTTTGATATGAAGATTTTATTTTTCTTACTGACTCAAGCCATGGGATTTTCTTCCTTTTTTAAAAAATTTTCTCATTTTTAAAATCGTTTTATTAGGGGCTTATACAACTCTTATCACAATCCATATATACATCAACTGTGTAAAGCACATTTGTACATTCATTGCCCTCATCATTCTCAAAACATTTGCTCTCCACTTAACCCCCTGGCATCAGGTCCTCATTTTTTCCCCTACCTCCCCGCTCCCCCCTCCCTCATGAGCCCTTGATAATTTATTAATTATTATTTTGTCATATCTTGCCCTGTCTGACGTCTCCCTTCACCCACTTTTCTGTTGTCCATCCCCAAGGGAGGAGGTCACATGTAGATCCTTGTAATCGGTTCCCCCTTTCCAACCAACCCTCTCTCGACCCTCCCAGTATCACCACTCACACCACTGGTCCTGAAGGGATCATCCTCCCTGGATTCCCTGTGCTTCCAGTTCCTATCTGTACCAGCGTACATCCTCTGGTCTAGTCAGACTTGCAAGGTAGAATTCGTATCATGAGAGTGGCAGGTGTGGGGGTGGGGGTGAGGGGAGGAAGCATTTAGGAACTAGAGGAAAGTTGTATCTTTCATCGTTGCTACATCGCACCCTGACTGGCTCGTCTCCTCCCTGATACCCCTCTGCAAGGGGATCTCCAGTGGACTACAAATGGGCTTTGGGTCTCCACTCCGCACTCCCCTCCTCATTCACTATGGTAAGAGTTTTTTTGTTCTGATGATGCCTTATACCTGATCCCTTCGACACCTCGTGATTGCATAGGCTGGAGTGCTTCTTCCATGTGGGCTTTGTTGCTTCTGAATCCATAAGCAAAGTCAAATCAGGACAGGCCATTCATAAATTTAGCAGCAATGTGCACCAATTCACAGGCTCAAAAATCCTGTCTTCATCTGTTTGGGTTCTGGTCAACACAATGTGGGCCGCCTTACTTAGTCTCACCAGAGTGTCCATTGGCCACCTCGCCTTTCAAGCATGGGCCCTGTCACAAACTCTCAACCACCCTAGCCCACTTGGGCTAGATCATGCCATAGGCTGAAATTCCACACTACTCTTTAAATGTCAGACCAGTCAACCCTCTTGCGTCTTTTCCTCTAGCTTCTATAAACCAGTCCCTGGGTGTCAGTGGCCATACTCAACCCATTGCTGAATTTTTCCCACTTCCACTCAAAAATGGACCAGGTAGTCACCTAGTGAAATTTTCAGACTGCCCACAGGCTCTCTGTAACTTTTAGACCTACGGAGGAGAATTTCTTCATGGCTTTAGATTTTCGCAGCTTCAGAAGCAAACCATTAGTTCAAAATTCAAAATGGCCAAATTCCTTTTTTCCCCTCCATTCTGCCAATAGCTCTTTCAGCAAGTCTTTTCAAATGCAAATGTACTGAACAAGACACTGGGTGGGGTTTATCTTTTTAGAGTCTTCTTTGCAGGTAGGTCCTATACCCATTTAAAGATCCAAATCAGGGATCCTCAAACTTTTTAAACAGGGGGCCAGTTTACTGTTCCTCAGACCCATTGGAGGGCCAGACTATAGTTTAAAAAAAATTATGAACAAATTCCTGTGCACACTGCACTTATCTTATTTTGAAGTGAAAAACAAACGGAGCGAAAACACTTGGCAGGCCGGAGAAATGTCCTCGGCGGGCTGCATGTGGCCCATGGGCCATAGTTTGAGGCCACCTCATCCAAATAATAGCTGAAGACAGTGTGCTTGATCTCTATTTTCATTCACAATAATCATTCTATCACACATTATATCAGTGACAATAGACAGTAGAAATCAGTAAAAACCTAGTACAGCCAAACCCTGAGCACATTCTTAAAACAGTCAAATTCACTCCTTATCTATGACCTTAGACCTCTGCCTGCATCAAGCCAGGGCTGGTCCTCCTGTGAGCCATTTTGACTAAGCAGCATGGTCTCAGAGAAGTTCAAGGGTTGTTTCGTCCCCTGAGCTCAAAGTTTACACTTATCATATTTATTTTCACCATTTCAGACAGAAATAACAAAACCAACTTCCAGGAATTAAAACTTCACATGTCCTGCAGTTTACACTGCATGACCATTTCTGACCTCTGACTAGACAAAGAAGAAAAACTGAAATAAGGCAGAGGTCAGACAAGACTCTACTCTCTATCTTCCTAATTTGTTTCTTTAGTACCCCACTCCCAAAGTACCATATTGTGCTAGGCCTGGTTGACTAGAGGAACAAATCTAGTGACCTTCATATACGTACAAGAAAGAGCATTATATCAAGAAGTTATTGTACATCAAGAGAACATATCAGTCCAGTCCAACTCAAATCCGTAAGTCCGATACTAGCTCATAAGTCCCTCTTCAGTCTCCCATAGCCATATGCAATGATGCAGAATGCAGTATTATCACACGCCAGTGGGTGCAGTCATGTGGATCCAATGGTGGTGAACACATCCCAGCATGTCTCACCGGCAGGAAAGTGTAGGCAGAGAGAGAGGGAGGTTCCCAGGACTCTCCTTATGAGAGTGGCCATGGCCACAAGGAGGTACCATCAGGCTGGACTACACCCCTACACGTCTCTATCTTCAAGTTAACACAAAATTATGTAACTACCACAGTCAGTCTCTGGGAAAAATATACAGAACTTCCACTTTATGTTAAGAGCAGAAACTCCGCTACCTTCCACAGGTTTTATCAGTATTTTCTGAAGGAGGAGTGCTTCTATCTTAAAAATATAAAATCAACAGGTGAGTATAAAGAACATGGTCACATTTCTTGTTAGTTTATAAAATGAAAATAACTTATTCTGTAAAGTGAATATAATTTACTTTAATCTTTACATTAGGTTATTTGTTTAGACTTTAATATCCATCAAATGCTGTCTACCATAAGCACAGTAACATATGCCAACCATTAACATATTATTTAATGGTCCTGTTCCATTCCAAACCAAGCTCCCTGTCATGCAGCAGATTCTGACAAATAATAGCCCTAAGGGCAGAGTACATTTCCTCATGTCGGTTGCTGAGACTATACATTTTAACAAGAGTAGACATTCTCAACTTTCTACCTAGAAATGTTTGGTGGTTTTGAACTACTGACCTTCTGGTTAGCAGCCCAATGCATAACCCCTCATGCCACAAGGACTTTCCTTCTACTGTCTAATTACTAAATCCTTTACTTATATACTAAAGTGAGAAAAAATTCTATCAATGGGTTCATGATCAATGAATATAATAACTGATAAAAAAGACAAATTGGAACAGACAATTTAACGGGTGACTGAAAAGGAATAAAAAAGTTTACAAATTTAAAAAAGAACTCAGCTAACGAATGTCCTACCAGAGGCTGAGTATGCCATGCCGGAGTAGAACCTTGGTGAAAGTTTTAAGATGTACCAAGAACTGTACATCATCAAAAATTGCACTGTACTGTGATAGATGCTTGTCCATTTTTCTATATATGAAACCCAAGATTGATGAATCAGTAGAGACAGCAAGTAGAATTAGGGACCCTGTTGGAGGGGCTCCAGTTGGGGCAGGGGGCAGGTAAAGGGAGACGATGTCAAGGAGTCCACGTAGAAAAAAAATGGTTGGAAACTGACCGTGGTAACAATTGTACAGTTCTCCTTAATGTGATTGAAACATGAAATGATATGTCTATTAAATCTCAACTAATAGAAGTCTCAGCTATAATTAGAACATGACAGTGATGAGGAGGAAGACAGTGATAATCTCAAAAGAACCAGTACACTGAGCAGATAATTATCTTTTATAAATTACTACTCTGGAAGTCTAAACTGAGCCTGAGAAAATAAACTCAAAACAATTAAAGGCCAGGGATAGAACTCTCCAGGGATATTCCTCTGGGATTATCCTGACCTTCAATCGCATATGACCTGAGTTCTTCACTCAATTCTAAATAGCCAAATTCACTGCCATCTGGTAGCTCACAGTTTATAAAATTGAGTTTAATGCAGCAAGTCATGAGAGAAAGCTAAATACAGAACTCCTTCTCTGGACCATGAAGCAGGACCCTTTTAGAGATACAAAACACAGGCATAAGAAGATAATAATATTTTGAAAGGTAATCATCAGAGTACAGAAAAGCATGTGAGTGATTTCTTGCTATTGAATTCATAATTGTCTTTAAGCATAATTACCATATTCAAGATTTTGGAGTCTTGAAATTAATGAAGTACTGAAGAAGAAGAGTTGTATATGGGTAGTTTGACCTGCTTAATGAAATAAAATATGTCATGATGTCTTTAGATTAATCATTCAGCGTGTTCACTGATTCCTGATTGGTTCCATACAAGTGTTAAGTGTGTTCCCTCAAAGAGATCTCTTTGTGTCTTGTATAACCTGTTTTGTGTGGCATAAGAAAAAGTGACATTTATGCAGGAAGTTCAGAAAGCACAGAATTTAGTACTTACTAGCTTCCAGAGGGAAAAGTACAAATCCCCTGAACTCAGGACACACAGGGTGTTACACTGAGGACAACGGCAGGTGGGGTCTCAGGGTTAGTACACAATGAAGTCTTGCTAGTCAGTTTAAAATTTTCTGATGAATGAGTGTGGGGAAAGGGAGAGAATTTTAACCATGGGATTCCATATGGGACAAGATAGCATCATCAAGGAGTAACTATAGCTTCTAAGAGAATATTATAAAATAGTAACAGGTTTCTATTACAGGAAAGTATATGGATTAGGTTCTGAGTGTTAGTTAAGAACCAAGACTGTGGAGAGTGTGTGTGAAACATAGGAACATTCATGTCAGAAATTGGGTAAAGGACAACTAGGACGAATTAATGCATGCATGGTTGTAAAATGGCCAATGACATATTTGGAGCAGAATTATGAGTACTGTTTTATCACAAAGTAATTATATGAAACGTTTTATCTGATAATATCCCCCCAGAGTTCACTAATGTATTTATTCTTTGTTCCTCCAGTCGTATGCACAACATGAGGTGTGATAACGAGACCTACTTGGTAGGTTTTACCCTTCTTGGACTATTTCCAGGAACAAGACACATTAGTGTTCTAATCTGCACCATACTCCTGGTCTACATTATTGCCATCACAGGAAACACAACCCTGGTCCTCCTCCTCGTTCTGGATCCCCAGCTCCATAGTCCCATGTACTTCTTGCTCAGTCAGCTCTCCCTCATGGATATCTCCCTAATTTCCACGACTGTCCCCAAGATGCTAACCAATTTTTTTTCAGGAACATCAGATATCTCATCTATTGCCTGTGGGACTCAGATTTACTTTCATTCTGCCCTTGGAGGCAGTGAATGCATTTTGCTCACTCTGATGGCCTATGACAGATATGTGGCTATTTGCAACCCCTTGAGGTATGGGGCCATTATGAATTCTGAGGTTTGTTTTCAGATGGCCATTGTGTCATGGGGAGGGGGGGCATTTAATTCCCTAATCCAAACCATATATACTTTGCATCTACCGAGGTGTGGCTCAAGAGAAGTCCACCATTTCTTCTGTGAACTACAGGCAGTGCTTAAGCTGTCATGCGAGGACACCTCAACTTATGAAAAAGTCGTTTTTGTGATTGGAATTGTGTTCCTTCTCACACCCTTTGGCCTTATTTTGGCATCCTACATTTTTATCTTCCACAATGTTCTCCGCTTAAATTCTACCAAAGCAAGGAATAAGGCTCTCACCACCTGCTCTTCCCATCTGATGGTGGTATGTCTCTACTTTGGTCCAACCATGTTCATCTACATGATTCCCAGTGTCTTGCACACCTCTGAGCAAGATGAGAGTCTCTCTGTATTCTATACCATCCTAACCCCTATGCTCAATCCCCTCATATACAGCCTAAGAAATAAGGAGGTGGGAAAAGCTCTAAAGAAAGTTCTGAGCAAAGTTTATAATATACGATAGCAATATTCAGAGTTTCTGAATACTAAATAATTCTGGTGACAATTTCCAGCCACTAATTTTATGACTTTTTTATGGATACCAATAATGCTAACAATTCTCAACTGGATCTATGCTTACATTATGTAAATTATTAGAGCATTTTTTGTTATCTCAATGAGTGGCATTTGATTTGGCCTACAGTATAAAAATGTAGAAACAATGTTGTTAACATTCACTATGGCAAGGTACAAAATATTTCAAACTATAACTCATCTGATTTACTCTCATCAGGTAGCATAAATACAGCCCAAGAGGCCAAGTAAAAAATTTCCTTATGTCTTAATGATGATATTCATAGTTACCAAACATCTGAGTTCTGTAAAATGTGCTTCTATTACATTATAAAATAGATCATTCACATGAAATTCACAGTGCTAGGCTAACAATCTGGATGCTGTTTTTATGAAACTTTAAAAAAAGTTATTTATTTATTTTATTAAACTTTATATGCTTAACAATGGCATTCTCCCAATGCAACCTGTCATGCTTATTTCAGCTTAATTGATACTTGGAACAGTAACTAATGAAATGTTATTTTCATTCTAATTAGTGTGCTTTGTTTTCTATGAAAATATACTTTTATTAAATAAGTCAGATTCCATGTCAAAGGTGGACAGGACAATAATAGAAATAAGTAGAAAAAGCATGGCTTGAATTTGAACTTCCATATCTTTCATTACGTCACCACAGAAGATATTTCATTTAGAAATCAAGCTTGCCACCCTGTACAAATAGTTTATCCAAAATCCAATGTATCATATTAGATTATTTTTAAGGTCCCTTTTGCCAAATTTTCCCCTGATATTATTGTAGTAGCAATACTCATTACAAATGAAAACTGAATTCTAGTGGAAAAAATATTGTTTATCTTGATGGGAAGATTATGTGAATGTGGTGTTATATTTAATTAATTAATACGACCCATTTAGCCATAGTCCTTCATTTTATGATGTAAACCATATCCTCTGTATCTGTGATCATAGTACATATTAAACAAAATCTAACATCCAGCCTTAAGTTGCTCCCGTAATAGGCAAACCACCGGCTACCTGCTTAATTGAGAAGAACAGAATGTTGGGAGTCACAGAACTTCCTGAGACTATACTTGGCCCCCCCTGGGATGCTTAGATGTGATATGACCAATGTGCTTTCTGGCAAAAACCAGACCTCCATCAAAGCTCTGCATGTGAGAAAGACCCAAATTTGTGATCCCCTCCCCTTTCCTAAAAGAGCCTATGCAGAAGACTAGTGGTAAGTCACCATTTCTGTGAAATTTTGCAGTGAACTATAAAATAATGAGAGTATATTAAGGAGAACTGGCAGTTGAAATCAGGGATAATGGAGTGATGTAGCATCTTAGAAAAGTCATTTGGGACATCATCAACATCCACCTAATTGAGACAAGTATTATATTAATCTTTCTTAAAAATTATTTTTGCAGAAGATAATCATTCATTTAAACTATCTTTTATATATATTATATATATAATATATATATAATAAATGTATATATATATATATACAGTATGAATCAATTTGAAGTCCTTACACAATTTCATTGATCGCTGAACATAAAGATATGGAATAATCAGCATGTCATTTGCCAAAGTAGATTGGATATAATTGGATAATCAAATCAGGAATCACTTGGAAATATGCATGAGAATATTTGATCAAATACTGGCTTTCAATCCAATGGCAAGATGACACTTCATGACTTTTTCCCCAAAGCAGAGCTTAATTCAAGCATTAGAGAGTATGTAGCTTATTTAAACAGTAATCCCAGAAATCATAACAAGTTATAGATAATGTTGACAAGAAGGAGAATTTCAGAACACTTAATCCTGAACAAGTTAAGTGTTCAGCAGAACCAAGTGACACTGTGTGGTTTAAATCAGGCACAAAATGTGAAGTTTTCCAGTGCAGAACTCCATCATATGTCAGGGTGTCTAGGATGCGGAATGAGGAGCATCTAGAATGTGGAAGGAGAACAGGATAGAATATTATTTCTGAACTGTTTATATATGTTAAGCCATTAAAATGGACAGCATGAAAAGATATAAGCAGATATATTTTCATGTTTGAAATTTGGGTTTATTAACAATATGGTGGCAATTCATTTACCTTTATAATCTAACATGCACCCAGAGTTTTGGATGACCTTCAGAAACAACAGTTCTGACCTCACTCAACAATCTCCACTGCACGACACCCTCGCTACAATCATTCCATGTGTACTGAGGTGAGATAGAAATTACCTAGCATGTCGTTCAGGATACAGAGCGCCTTTCTAGTCACAGTCATAATTTCTTTCCCTATAAGCTTTCAAACAGAAAATCAACCGCCTGCATTGGGAAATGCAATTATCCGAGGTTTGATAATCCATGACATTGCTTGAGTCAGGAGATATTAAATCTCATTCTTATTCCTTCTGGGTTACCCTTCTCTAATCTTCATCATTATTCAATATGATGACTAGTCTGTAAAAAGTGAACAGATGGGTTAACTTTGTTATTTAGACTTAAAACAATTCACCTTTAAATTTTTAGGCAATAAGATGTGTTGAAAAATACACTAGAGTTTTTAATTCAGGACAAAAAACCCTGTTTAAAAGTTCAGAGGAAAACTATCAATTATCTCTCTAAAATAAATTTTGTAATGTAGAGCAAAATTACAAAGGGAAGTATGATAAGAATGGGTGGTATGAGGACCCAACCATGATACCCCAATAAGCCTTGCAGGTCATACGATCACCTCAACCTGCCCTTTTGGTCAACACATAATACACGGTCACAGAGAGTTTCTTTAAATAAAACTGTGGGAGAATATCTTTCATAGTATTAGATTTCCTAATTATGGCAAAAAGAGAAATCCATAATAATTATCTTTCCGATATGCCCTCCTGCACAGTAGGGTCATGGCGAGAGAGCAACTATACAAACCACCGCTGTGCTTTTAAACGATACATTAACTGTGGAGAAATGTAAATGCTGACCAGATGTTTGTGAAGACATGCATGTGTAAGGGACAACTCTTAAATGTCTAAGGGAATTAAAGTGACACATAATGCCTAAGTTTTTTTCTAAGATGTACAATAGAACAAAATCAATGGAACAACTGATTGGGAAGTTTAACAAAACTGCTTCATTCTCTTATCATGAACTATGTTGGTAGTATTGCAATTAAAACCATACAATGAAATTTAAATTCATCCAACATATTTTCAGGTACATGCCTGGCAAAATTCCAGATATTTTACCATATTTTATTTTATTCCTACATCCAAGAATGTAAAAAGTTAACTCTTTAAGATCACCTGGGGTTTTAAAGGCTTGAAGATCAACAAGCGGCCAGCTAGCTCAGAAACAACAAAGCCCACATGGGAGAACCATGTGGTGTGTGATCATGAGGTGTCGATGAGATCAGGTATCAGTCATTTAAGACCCAGAACAAAATCATACCCAATGTGAATGGCAGAGGGGCAGGGAGTGGAGACCCAAAGTCCATCTGTCGACAATTGGACATCCCTCACAGTGGGGTCACAGGGAAGAGAGGAGCCAGTCAGGGTGCAGTATAGCACCAATGAAACACACAACTTTCCTCTAGTTTGGTGCTTCCTTCCCCCCACTATCATAACCTCAATTCTACCTTACAAATAGGATTAGACCAGAACATGCACACTGCTACAGATAAGATCCCACAACACAGGGACTCCAGGATAGATAAACCCTTCTGGGCCAACAAGGAGAGTAGAGATACTAGGAGGATTAGGGGAGCATGGGGGTAGAAGGAGGAAATTGATCACAAGAATCAACTATAACCCCTCCCAGGG